CTATACGACCGCCCTGAGGGTGATAAGGAGGTTGGGGGGAGGGGGCCAGCAATGGGCAACAGTGGTCTGACGATGCCAGTGGAGATCGATAGTGATATCGATTTTGATATCGATCTCGCTATCGATCTCACTATCGATCTCGCTTTAGATCTCATTATTCATCTCACTATCGATTCCACTATCGATCTCGCTATCGATCCCACTCGATCGATCTCACTATGGACCTCACTATCGATTTCACAATCGATATCACGATAGATCTCACTATAGATCTCACTATCGATCTCTCATTATAGATCTCCCTATCGATCTCACTTTCGGTCTTATTATCGATCTCACTATCGATCTCACTATCGATCTCACCGTCGATCTCACCACGGGACATCACGGGACAACGACGGGACACCGGCGGGACACCAGCGGGACACCGGCGGGACACCGGCGGGACACCGGCGGGACACCAGCGGGACACCAGCGGGACACCAGCGGGACACCGGCGGGACACCGCGCGCCACCGGTTGCCGGGCGGAGAACCCTTTTGGTCCAGCCGCGGCCCAGCCACAGGAGAATTTCCTTTCCCCCGCCTACGCAGCTTCGCCTCGCCCGCACGCACGGCACGAACACGAAACCGAAATCGATTTCCCAGTAGGGGGGCTCTCCGTTCTTTTCGATCTCACCCCCCAACCTCCGACATAAATATTTGTAATATATACATATAACTATATACATATCTATATATATATATATATGGCGGGCCACTCGCGTATGTCGAAATCACCGAAAACCATTGGTTCCCCGATTAGCACGCATGTGTTCCAACGCACTTGGGTGACAGTTGTTTTCCAGAAGACAGTGCTAGTTTTTCTGCGCGAGCTAACTTCTTCAGCATCCTCATGATTTCCATCGTCATCATCTGCGCCATCGTCATCATTTTTGTCGCCATCACCACCACCAGCGTGCGCATCACCACCGTTGTCGTCATCATCACCACTTTGGTTATCATCGTCATCATGCGCTGGCAGGGGTCATGCCCAGTGTGCGGTCGGCACCCAAATCGTCGCGACTGTGTTCTGGGACTGGCTCAGCCCTTTCTTGGGAGGCCCAGGGGCATGCGCAATGGCCTATAACAATGCCTCTCCCTTGCGAAGACGCGCCCCCCTCGCCGCCGACCGAAGTGTCGTGCTCCCGAATGGAAGTTCAATCTTCTTGGAAGTACCGCTGGTTCTGACCTTTCTGTGTGGGGGGCATATTCGCTATCATACGCACGCACGAGCGGGCGCACTGCTTGCGCGCGTCGTCAGGCGCGGCCGGCTGCGGCTTATCAAGTACGCCGCGTGTGCAATCGATTCATGCGAAGACGTTGCGCGCAATATTAAAAGAGTACGTGCATTGTTTGTCCTGACCACGCGCATTCCGCATGTCTCCTCTCTCTCTCTTTCCGCTCCCGATTTCGTTCCCCTTCTCCTTGTCTTGTTTGTTGTGTTTGCTCGGGTGTTCATGCCTGCTCGAAGGCACATCTGTGGCATAGATCCCTCGGGACCGCGAGCCTTTCGACGGCCGCACCTCAGATGGCGTCGCCTGGCCTGGCTGCCACCTGCGTGCTGGCTGCGCTTCTGCAGGCCAGGGCTCAGATCAACGTCATGTCGCCGGCAACCCTCGCAAAGGAGTTCCCCCAGGGACGAATAATGGGCTCCACCACCACGATCGGCGCCCCCTTCTACGGAGAGCGCGTGCTCGGCCAGCTCGTGTGGGGAGAGTCCAGCGACAGAAAGGCACCCCATTGCACGGCAGAGGACTATGAGCTGCCTCAGCCCAGCAGCGACGGCGGCAGGGGCATGCGGCTGATCAACATCGCGGTGGTGAGACGCGGAGGGTGTGCATTCTCAACAAAGGTGCGGGTTGCTGCCGAGAAGGGCGCGCATGCCGTGATCATCGTCGACAAGGAGGACTCCACTTACACCAGGAAGCAGATGAACGATGTGATCGTAGCAGAAGACAGCTACGCAGAAGATGTCCACATCCCTTCCATTTTTGTATGCAAGCAAGATGGCCAACTTCTCATTAGCCAACTCAGAAAGCCCAACGACCCGGTTGTCGTGGAGCTCGCGTGGAACATACCCGCGAAATCTGTGGTGACAGTAGACCAGTGGATGAGCTCTGCGTCGTCCGAGAGTATGAATTTCCTTAAGAGTTTCGCGCCAAAGAGGAAAGTTCTCAACCAGGTGCTCAGGTACCAGCCCCACTTCCAGATTTTTAGCATGGGCAGCGGAGGCAGTGCACAGACCACAAGCAAGCTCTGCACTGACTCCTCCGGCAAATACTGCGCCGAAGACCCCGACGGCGAGGGCCCGGTCCAGGGCAAGGACGTCATCGAGGAGGACCTCCGCCAGCTGTGCCTTCACGACAAGACAAAGAAAGTGGACCGCAGCCGGGATTTCGAGTCGCATGTGATGCCTCCCGAGTACGCGGTCGCCTACTGGGACTACATCGAGAAGTTCCAGGAGAGGTGCCCCATCACGGCGGACACCAGCCTGGCTGAAGACAAGCGGTACGGAACGATATGCTCGTTCGCGTTGATGCGGGAGGTCGGCCTCAGCGAGCAGCAGATCAGGCTCGTTGAGAGTTGCGCCGACGTGAGCCGCAACACCGAGGAACTGGAGCTGCAGAAGAGCCACACCGCGTGGTCGCCGAGGGCGCTCCGCATCAACGGTTGGAGGTACAGCGGCATACTGGATCCAGAGCTCGTGGCCACCGCGGTGTGCGCTGGGTTCAGCAAGGTCGGGCGTTGAAGTCTATACACATCCACTGCTCCCTGGCCAGGCCCATCCTGAACCCAGGAGCCGTGTGTACGCCTTCCTGGTCAAACCAGGAGGGCGTGGCGTGTGCACGTTGCTGGGTTCAGGATGGGCCTGGCCAGGGAGCAGAGGATATGCATTGATTTCGTCGCCCTACAAGGAGCCCCCAGAGTGCAAGCTGGTGAAGGCGGCTGGCCGCGACTTCTTCGTGCCCTTCCTTCCATCGAACATGCGTGGCGGGGTCAGCTTCGCCACGCTGTTCAAGTCGTTGTTCGTGGTGTTGGCTCTAGTCTGGTGCGCTTTTTATTTGTACAAGCGCTACATGCAGAGGGAGATGCGGGCCACCATCAGGGAGGAGGTGATGCTCGAGGTGGAGTCCCAGATGGCGCAGTACGGTAAGTTGAGCGGGTGAGCGAGCACGTTTCACGAACAGCCTCTCATTCTTGACAGTCAGCGCATGCCCCTGGATCGCCAGAATGCAGTGGTAGCTCGACAATTCTGCGTTGCCGTAAAGGCAAGCTATGTTGCCTATTCGCGCTCACTCAGCCATCGTGCGTGATACGGTACTGCTGCCAGCGTCCCGCTATTTGTTTGGTCTGAGCTTTGGGGTGGCTAAATGTAAGCGTCAGCAGCAGCCCACGATCAGATCTTGGTTGCGTTGGCATTGCTGTCGAACCTATGGGAGACGGGCAGCGCACGAGCTCACCTATTCTTCCTCCCCTCCTCGTCCTCCTCCGCATCTACCTCCTCCCCTGACGCCCGATGTCGTGAAACAATTCGACGTCAGCATAAACACGGCCAGAACTTTCGGCACACCCTGGGGGGACAGACAATTTTGTTTCTTCTCATGGCGCCCAGATCTGAGCGTTCGTTGTCAGCGTGGTTGTCTGCGTTGTCGCCGTCCTCGCCGTCGCCGCCATCGCCGAGGGTCTTCCGGCATCCTCTGGCGCACTGGGACGCCCACCGAGACTCCGACACCGGTCATGACAAGGCCGATCCCTGGGCCCCCGGCCGGCGTCGTGTGGCTTCGGGGCCCGGCCAGGCGCCGACCCTCCGGGCAGCAGGCGGCCCGACGTCTCCCGGGCGTGAGCCCCGGACCTCTCGACACTCTCCTCGGTCTCGGGGGCGGCAAAGAGGGGGGTGATGACTGGGGGTGGGTGGGTATCATGGCGGGGGCCATGATATTTCCCCAGATTTCATGGCGCCTCTTCTTACTTCATCACGTCCCTGGCCCCCCCGCTGGGCCGCGCACATGCCGCCAGTCATGGTTTGCACCCCCCCTCTTGGACACCCCCCTCTTGGCCGATCCCGACGGTCGGGCCACGCGTAATGGGAGGGTGATAAATTGGGGAGGGCATCGAGGGCTGCAGAAAGGAGCCCTCCAGGGCCCCCAAAGGGGCCCGTTGGGGCCCTGAATGGTTTATCGTCCCCCCATGATCACCGAGCGCGTACCCACAGAGTGCCTACCCACAAACGTCCGAAAAGCACACGTCTGCCTCGATGTACTGGATCGTGAATCCCCCGCGGCGGATCCAGGCCATTTACCACCATCTATTCTGCGAGCATGTACTGCTCGCCCCCCCACGAAGCGTTGCCCAACTCGAGGATCAGCTCTTCATCCCCAGTCGTTTCTTGATGGTTCCTGGGGGCAAGACGAGCCTCCCGAGGCCCAGACCTGGAAAAAAGCCAGCCGCCCTGATTTTCGTCGAGCTGCCAGATGTGTGGGCGAGGGCCTCCCCTCCTCCTTCTCCTCCTCCTCCTCCTCCTCCTCCTCCTCCTCCTCCTCCTCCTCCCCACCCTCGCCCTCGCCTTCCTCCCTTTCTCCCCCCTGTTGCCGTCGTCGTGGCGCCGTGCGTCGTCGTCGTCGTCGTCGTCGCCGTCGTCAATGACGCCCCGTCGCCGCTGGGGGGGACCTGTTCAGGGGTGCGTTCCGACCAGAATCTCGAGGTGGATCCAGGCGGGATGACGGAGTCTCCAGGAGGCCCCACGGGAACGCATCATGTCCAAAGTTTCGATCCTCGAACCTCGGAGGACCCAGCCTCGGTGGCAAGAAGCCTGCTGGAGGCCCAAGAAGACAAACAGTCCAAGAACTTTTGTCATCGAATCCACGGCAGTTTTGAGCCTGTGTTTTATTCCGTGGACCCGTAGCGTCCGTCACCAGGGTTCCAGCCTCCTTCCCTTCCCCCCCTTGCTGGAGAGCCAAGAATGGCGACAAACCGTCCAAGAACCTTGCTTCTCGAATCCACGGAAGCATGGAGCCCCTGTTTCATTCCGTGGACCCGTAACGTCCGTCACCAGGATTCCCCCCCTTCCTTGCCCCCCCGCAACGGTCGGGATCGCATGGTGCCCCCCCCACGGTCAGGCACACGGGGTGGCGCTCGCAGGCCTTGGTTGTGGCCATGCGCACCTTCTGGTGTGCACATGCACGCTGTGCTGATCGCGAGCCGCTGTGGTGCTCACAGGCATGTGGGCACTCGCAGGCACACTGCGGTGCGCACAGGCATCTTGCGGCGTTCGCAGGTTCTTTTGGTTCGCTCAGGCTTACTGCCTGCGCTCGCAGGCAAATTGAGGTGATCGCCAGGTAGTGTGACACTGGTAGGGTCTGGGTGCTGTTTCTCATACGGTTGGCAGTCTCAAGCTAGTGTGGTGTTGGCGCGGGCTGGCTTCTCTCACCGTCTGGCAGTTGCAAGCGCGCTGTGGCCTTTACAGGCACTCCAGGGTGATCGCAGGTGATTCATGCGTTCAAGCGGGACCAAAAGGAGGAGGGAGGGTGGGAGCAGGGAGGTTATGGCAGTGAGTGTGGAGTAGGCAGTCTGCTGGTATATGATGTACAGAGGAATGTGGCGCTCACAGGCACGTCGCGGCGTTCGCACGCTCCGCTGCCCTCACGGACAAGTGTGGCATTCATTGGCGTTCGTGCTATTGGCAGGGTATGGGATATTGTTGTGCATGCACGTGCGAATCTTGCTGTTCGCACGTGCACCGTGGTGTTCGTAGGCACGGTGTGGTGTTCGCAGGCTAACAGTGTGCCCATTGGCATGGTTTGGAGCCCACAAACAGTTGTGTCAATGGCAAGGATCAGCATACTGTTGTGCAGACGTGTGTTGCTACTGATGGTCGCATGAACATTGTGGTGCTCGCAGGCTGTCGCTGTGCTTGCACGCAGATCGTGGTGCTGGCTGGTTATTGTGGTATTGGCAAGGTATGGCGTCCTATTTAACACTATGTGACGCTCGTGTTCGTAGGTACAGCGTGGTGCTCGCAAGCACTTTGGGGGGCTCGCAAGATTCTACGGTGCTCACATGCATGATGGTGGCCTCCGAGACCAACAACATGTGTCCACATGCGCCGTCAGCTTCCGCTGGACTTCGTTTGGACGCGGACACTCGTGCTTGCAGGACTGCGGAGGGCGTACACGTATAGTACATGCGTCTTTGCCCGCTCAAGATTATGTTTGCACTGGCACGGGTCGGGGGTATTGTTCCGCATACGTGTGTTGATGAGCTCACAGGCGCGATGTGGTGCTGGCAGGCACGCTGTGGCTCTTGCGTGCTACCGTGGTGCACGCAAGCATTGCGGCGGTCGCAGCTTGTCGCAGTACAACCCAGGTCCGGCATACTGTTGTGCATACGTGTGTTGGTGTTGTGGTTCGCAAGTTTATTGTGGCGCTCACAGGCACGTTGTGGTGCTCGCGGGCTATTGTGATGCATGTCCAGCTTGGTTGTGTGCATATCGTGGTGCTCGCAGGCGACTGTGCTACTGGCAGGAACCAGGCCCCGTCGCCGTCTGCTGCTTATAAGCGCACCTGGTTGTTCTCAGGCGCGTTGTGGTGCTCGCAGGCCGCCGTGGTGCTCACAGGCGCACGGCGGTGCCCACGGCCTTGCGGTTCCACCCGCCGCTTTGTAGACTCACTGGTTGTGGTGGCGCTATGGGGAGCAAGCAACGACATACTATAAACATAACAACAACTGGGAGGTCGGCGCACATTTCTCGGATCGGCGCCGCCCCCCCTGCTTGGCGCGGGGAGCGAGCCAGGGGCCGCGCCGGAGGCGCCGCCGGGGGGCTCCATCGCCGATCCGAGAAATCTGCGCGCACCTCGGAGTTGTTATGTCTATGTCATGGTTGTTCCCCTGGGTGCGTAAGCCTCCGGTTCGTCTATCCACCGTCTCCCCTGCCATCCACGCCCAGATGGTCATGGCGGCCGGCTGCTGCGTGGCCCTACAGTCAACCCGCACAGCAGGGATGGGCAACCTTCCCAAAGGCACCCTTGCATCCTTGCCTTCTCGGTCCATCCTTGGCTACTTTCGCTGGCCGCGCCCCGCTCAGAAAGCTCCGACGTGGCCTTCCAAGGCCCGGGCATCCTTCCCGCGTGTCTTTCTGCTACGGTTTGACTGTAAGTGGCCACTGAGGGTTCCGGCGGTTCGTGGCGCGTGCGGCCTCGCTGTCGTCGACCTTCTGCGCCTCGACGCTGCGCGCGAGGCCGCGACGCCCAACAAGGTAGAGCCTCCGGGGTGGCGCGTGCTGGTGCGCGTCGGAGGAGGAGGAGGAGTAGGAGGAGGAGGAGGAGAAGGAGGAAGGAGGAGGAGGAGGAGGAGGAGGAGGAGGAGGAGGAGGAGGAGGAGGAGGAGGAGGAGGAGGAGGAGGAGGAGGAGGAGGAGGGAGGAGGGAGGGCCCGCCCGGGTTGCCCGCGCGCCCGCGGGCGCCCCCGGGGGCCGGCGCGGCCGCCGCCGACCTGCCCGCGCCCCCGGAGGGGCCGCCTGCGGAGGTGCCCAGCGGAGGTCGAGGCGCCCACGCCGCTGCCCTGCCTGGGGGTCTCCCTCTCGGGCGTCCCGGGAGGCCTCGTGGCCCATGCTGGATTCGCCTCGACACGGTGGGGGCGTTGGGCTAAGGAATGCGCCCAGGAGGCGGCAGGCTCTGGAGCAGTCCTCATCTGATGAGGACGGCGGCGATGTCCATGGCCAAGCCTCGATTGGAGTTCCACCGGCCTCCAGACCCTGGATTCCTAATCTAAGGGCTTTTTCTGTCCAATGCCCCCACCGTATCCAGGTCAGAATGCACCCCGCGAGAGGTCCGAGGAGTAGCGGTATCGGTACCTTGTGGTTTCCCCGGGTGCGGGGGGCGCGACGACAGGATGTGCTGAGGAGGAGCCTCGCAGGCGATTTGTCTCCCCCAGTCCCCGAGTTCCGCCTGAAACGGTAGGCCGCTCATCATTTTGTCCGTCGCAGCGCGGCAGAGGCAATTCGCACGCGCGGTCGAGCAGCCGGGGGCGCTCGGCACGCTCATTCATTGTTCAGCTGCAAGGGGAACTCACGGCTGGGAGGAGCGGCCGCGGTGGACAGGAGGAGGATGAGGAATGCACCCACCGCGGAAAGCATTTCAAGATGAGCGCGCCAGTGCGGCCAGCCGGGGCCTAAGTGACCTGGCAGTGGGCGCGGGGCGGCATCACGACCACACCCACGGACCGAAACCAGGGCGCGGCAAAAGAGTCACACGTCAGAGGGGCCACGGGTCATGTGATACTGATGCGCGCCAAGACTCAAGGTTTCCAGGGTTCAACATAGCTCCTGGTGTTCTGTATCCGCCCGCGCCGCCAGGCTCTTCTAGGAAATCATGGAACGACGCATCCTGATTCAACCTCACCATGATATCGTTCTCGCCACGACACGTCCGACGATCCTCAGACCTCGAGCGGCGTCCAGGCAGGCCCCCCCCCCGGCCAGGCGCACCGCCGGCCTGGCGCGCGAGCCGTCGGGCGCGCGGCTGGTTGTTTCCCGGGCGGGTCTGCAGGGATACGCCCGACCTGGGTCGAAGTACACCAGAGAAAACCCCAACCATTGGATGATTTGGAAACCGCTGATGTGGATACTGAGATCGATTGTGGAACCGATAGTGAGATCGACCGTGGGGTTGGTAGCGAGGACGATAGTACGGTTGATCGTGAGACCGATCGTGAAGTCCATTCAGTGATATCCATAGCGAGATCGATCGTGGGATCGTTCGTGCGATCTACAGTGAGATTCAGCTTGCCGGACTTGAAGTTGTCGACTTCACTGCTCGCGCAATCATCCCACCCACCCACCCGCAATTTGGTTTGCAAAACCCATGCGGAGGCGATTGCGATGAGTGTTTCGTGTTGGCTGGTGCATCTCTGCGGCCACGCTAGCCCGCGCATGCTCGCGCGCGCAACGGCCAGCTCGTTTGGCGCCAATGACGCGAGAGCGTTGGCGCTGATCGTTCGGCACATCCCAGCGGGCACTCCAATGCGAGTCGGCGACTTGGGCGGGCGCGGTATCATGGCAACGTCGACAACAGTAGGCACGATGAAACTGGCAACGATGCTGGCGACGATGCTGACAGCGACGACGGCACGGCCAGTCACGGCGCAGATGCTGATCACGCCGACGACGATGACGTCGTCCTCGCGTCGGTGATGAAGGTTTTGGAAAGAATTCGACATGCTCGCGCGGCCGACGCGCGAGACTGGCTCATATTATTTGACACGGCCCGTGTCCCCCCAGCACGCGCACAGATGCGTGCGAATGATGGCGGCGCCAGAGGCTCGTGTGGCAAAATTCCATGGACATGTTGAACATTCTATGGTTTTCTCAAGGGCTCGCAAGAACGCGAGCGCACGCTTTTTCAAAAACGAATGTTGTGAAACCATGTCTTTTTTTATATGCGTCTTGGACAGTCGGCTGTGGGAGCGGTACAACCCAACAGGTTTTTGACGGATTTCGGCATGCGCGCGCGAGGACGCGCGCGTGTGCACTGTGCCCCATTTTTTTGCACAAGGATTCTCGCGACGCCACGCGCGCAAGGGCGTTCGAACGATTTCGACATGCGCGCGCGCGAAGCCCGTTTGGTAGCGTTTCCGTGAACATGATGAAACACAAATGGTTTTCGTAAATATTCGCAAACGCGCGCAAGTTTTGGTTTGAAAACCCGCGTTGCGAAGCCTGGTGTTTTTTAAATACATTCTATGTGCGCACTCGGTTTTGACATCTTTGCAAAACCGAGGGCATTTGAAGAATTTTGGCACGCGCGCGCGACAACGCGCGCGTGTGCATTTCGTCTCGGTTTTTTCCGGGGACTCTGGACAACCAGTGGGTCTTGATAAACACACAGGATGGCGGGGGGGGCGATACTGGTCCCCTTGGGATGGTGCAAATTCATGGACGATGGGGCTGAATCGTACGCAAATTGCAATACGAAAAGAGGATGTGACAATCCATTGGGGGGGGAACTTAAAGAAAAACAAACACATGGAAATTTATTGTGAGATCGATAATGAGATCGATCGTGATATCGGTAGTGAGATCGGTAGAGAAGTTGGCAATGAGATCGAAGGTGAGACCGGTCGATCAGGAGATCGACCAGATCCCCGAATCCAGGAACCCCGCCGCCCACCGAAATCGGCCCAGAAGCAGCAACCAGGAACCAATAAAACCGGAACCGGGAACCCGAGAATTCGTCCGCCTATCGAGATTTTGAGATTTTTGGGGGTCTTCGTTCGAGATTTTTGGGCGTCCTCGTCGGTTCCTGCCCACTCAGCTCACTCTTACACAACACCAGTCAACATGACTTCTCCTTTCTCTCCTATCGCTCGTGGCACGCGTGCGGCAGGTACCCCAGTCGGCGGCTTACTGAAGAACGATGTCGCGGCCAAGAAGACTCGTGTGGGACACGGCCCAAATTCCCCCCTCGACGATATGGATGAAGAGCCAAAGCCAGGTGTCATCGCGCAGTCCGAGGGCGCCAGCGCTACGTTCCTCGATCGTCTGGACGCTGCTGCGGACGACGGTCTTCCACCTGCTGAGCCGGAAGAGGTTCTTCAAGAGCCGGTTACAATGCGGGGCATCGCCGCTCTGCTCAAGAACCAGCTCCGCCCCGTGACGTCCGTAGTTGCACAGTTGCGTAAGGACTTCGTCAAGCTCGAAGCGAAGGTCACCGCGATGGGCGACACGCTCTCCGACAGGATGGAGGGCGTTGAGACCGAGCTGGCAAAGAACGACTTTCGCATCGAAAAGCTGGAGCACATGTGCGAGGTGCTGGAGAAGCGGCCGGGCTACAGCATGGACGAGATCGAGGACAAGATCCAGGAGAGCATCAGGATCGCCTTGACGAATGAGGCCCTCTCCCAGGAGCCCGGCCTCCAGAACCCCGTGATCACAGACAAACGCACAGTGACCATGGTCATTGGCAACTTGGACGGCTTCGGGGATCTGAGCTGCGCCATCGATTGGCTCCAGAAGAAGCTTGATCTTTCTTCCGGCCCCCGCCCAACAAAGGTGTACGCGAAGGGCGACTTCAAGAGCATCTTGTTCGCGGAATTCGCTTCCACTGCTGCTCGCGATCGGGCGGTCGATGCACTTCGTGGAGCCGCCCTGCCAGTTGGAGACAAGAAGGCGTGGGCCAGCCAGGACAGGTCCCCGCCCGATCGTGCCGCTCGTAACTTTTGTTTTGGTTTGAAACGCATCTTTAAGAACGATTGGAATATTCCTTACATTGTCCAGATTTCAGATGAGGCTCCCTACAAGATGACGGTCGGTGGGGAGGACGCCGTTACGGTGCACATCGAGGGCAACAGCATCAGGTATGAGTGGCACGGAGACTGGAGGACGTGGGATGAGCTTCACGACAATCCGAAGGTGAAGGAGCTTATCCAGAAGAACGCTGACATGTTGTCGCGTGCGGGGCAGGGTATGAAGGGCGGCGGAGGCTTCGCGAAGGGGAGCGCCAAAGGGCGCTAGGATGCACCGCGCATGAGCACGGTTTCACCCAATGTTTCACCAGAGTTCGCGGGAGCAGTCGGCAATACTGCACGCCCGCCTATGGATTATCAAGCGAATTACTCATCATATGAAGCACATGTTTTTCGAGGTGGGAGGCTCGCGGTGGCAAGGCCGAGCCTCCAGCTGGGTACTTGGAACGTGGAGGGCCTCACAGCAGCGAAAATTGTGGAACTGCAGAACCACATGTTTGAATTGGACATCGACGTGTTATGTTTACAGGAGACGCACAAACCTAAGTCGGACTACTTGGTCACAGATGAAGGGTACCTGCTGGTGCTTTCAGGTTCTCTGGATGATAGCGAGAGTGCCGGCGTTGGATTTTTGGTTTCGCCACGGGCTCGACGAAGTGTCGTCGGCTTCCGCCAAGCGACATCGAGAATGGCATCTCTCAAATTCCGGGTCAAAGGTGGCAAGATCGTGATTTGCAGCGCGTACGCCCCCCACAGCGGGAAACCGCCAGAAGACAGACAGCACTACTTTCAAGAGCTGACGCAATTCATCGGGTCGCTGTCTTGCCATGGGCCGGTGTTCCTGTGCGGCGACCTTAACGCCCGGCTGCATTTCCAGAGGCCCGGCGAGGAGGCCATCATAGGAAGATATGTTTTCGGCAACCCTCATGCGCAGCACAATCCGGAGTCGAACAGGTCTCTGCTCGCAGAGCTCTGCTGCACAAGGGAGTTCGCAATTGCCAACACGTACTTTGATGAGCCAGCAGAGCGGCAGATCACTTGCTACGATATTGGGTCGTCCCCAGCAAGCCCTACAACACACAACCACTTCGGCCAGATAGACTTCATTGCTGTTTCCTCTTCGTGGCTAGGTTCGGTGCGCAGGGTGTGGAGCGACAAGTCCCGAGCACTTGCTTCCCATCATTTTCTTGTCAGGGCGTCTCTCACGATGGAGGTTCCGAAGACGGAGCCCCGCGAGGGCCGCAAGAGAAAAGATGTCGCTGCTCTCCGGGAGCCGGACGTGGAGCACACCTTCGCGGGCGC